TATGGCGCCCAGGTGGTTGTGGTTCTGGTTGTTGTTGTGATTGTTGCTGTTGTTGTTGTTGTTGTGCAGGTCGACAGTGTGGAGCACGGCTTTGGCGCTAGTTAAGTACTGCTGTCGCAGGGATGTGTTGTTGTTGTGCAGGTTGCCAGTGTGGAGCACGGCTTTGGCGCCCTGTTAAGTACCGCTGACGCAGGTTGGAGCACATCTATGGCGCCCAGTTAACTACCGCTGACGCAGGTATGGCCTCCGCCCCTCTTCTTCCTTTTTTTTTTCTTCTTGTTCTTCTTCTTGTTCTTTTTTTTTTTTTCTTCTTCTTCTTCTTCTTCTTCTTCTTCTCTTCTTGTGGTTGTTGTTGTCGTTGTTAAGGTGGTCAGTGTGAAGCAAGGCTATGATGCCTAATTGAGTACCGCTGACGCAGGTATGCGTTGTTGTTGTTGTTGTTGTTCAGGTCGCTAGTGTGGAGCACGGCTATGGCGCCCAGTTAGGGTACGGCTGACGAAGGTATTGCCTCCGCCTCTCTTCTTCTTCTTCTTCTTCTTCTTCTTCTTCTTCTCGTCAAATATTGCTATGGATTGCTTTTTTTGCATCTTTTGAAGTGAAACTACGTATGGTACCAGTTCATATTTGGTTCCCCTGAAGCTCGTGTAGAAGCACCCACCGATGAATCTGTTATCTTAGCGAGATTCTCTTCAAATTGGGAACTTACGATTTTTTCAGAGTTTCTGGAAATGAATTCAATTTTGGAGTAGAAAATGTAGAAGTGTTTGGTGAACCAAAAATGATTTTGCCTAAACCAATAAAAAAGATATGCAAAAATAAACTAGTTTGGACCGAATTAACACAAATATGGCGAAGTGACAATAATCACGTAACAGTGTTTTCTTTGAATTCAGTAAATGGAGGCTACACTGTAAAAAATGCAGGTCATATAACTTCTTTCTTCTTCTTCTTCTTCTTCTTCTTCTTCTTTTCCTTCTTCTTCTCCTCCTCCTCCTCCTCCTCCTCCTCCTCCTCCTTCTTCTTCTTCTTCTTCTTTTTCTTCTTCTTCGTTTTTGTCTTTGTCTTCGTCTTCGTCTCCGTCTTCGTCTTCTTCGTCGTCTTCTTCTTCTTCTTCAGGTGGTTAAGGTTCTGATTGTTGTTGTGGTTGTTGCTGTTGTTGTTATTGTTGTTGTTGTTGTGCAGGTCGACAACGTGGATCACAGCTATGGCGCCCAGGTAAGTGACGCAGGTTATGCCTCTAGCCCTCTTCTTCTTCTTCTTCTTCTTCTTCTTTCTTCTTCTTCTCGTCAAATATTGCTATAGATTGTTTTTTTTTTACCTTCTGCAGTGAAAGTACGTATGGTTACAGTTCACATTTGGTTACCTGAAGCTCATGTAGAACCACCCACGGATGGATCTGTTATCTGAGCGGATATTCTCTTAAAATTGGGAACTTACGGTTTTTAAAGATGAAATAAAATTAATTTTGGAGTAGAAAATGCAGAAGTGTTAGGTGAACCAAAAATGATTTTGCCTAAACAAATAAAAAGAAAATGCAAAAATAAACTGGTTTGGGCTATGGCGAAGTGGCAACAATCGCGTAAAAGTTTTTTTTTTGAATTCAGTAAATGGAGGCTACGCTGTAAAAATTGCAGGTCATATAGCTTTCTTCTTCTTCTTCTTCTTCTTCGTCGTCGTCTTCTTCTTCTTCTTCAGGTGGTTGTGGTTCTGTTTGTTGTTGTGGTTGTTGCTGTTATTGTTGTTGTTGTTGTTGTGCAGGTCGACAGCGTGGATCACGGCTATGGCGCCCAGGGAAGTGATGCAAGTATGGCCTCCACCCCTCTTCTTCTTCTTCTTCTTCTTCTTTTTCTTCTTCGTCGTCTGGTTGTTGTTGTGATTGTTTCTGTTGTTGTTGTTGTTGTTGTTGTGCAGGTCGACAGCGTGGAGCAAAGCTATGGCACCCAGGTTGTTGTGGTTCTGGTTATTGTTATGGTTGTTGTTCTTGTTGTTGTGTAGGTCGACAGCGTCGATCACGGCTATGGCGCCCAGGTAAGTGACGCAGGTATAGTCTCCTTACCTCTTCTTCTTCTTCTTCTTCTTCTTCGTCTTTTTTTTTTTTTTTTTTTTTTTTTTTTTTTTTTTTTTTTTTTTTTTTTTTTTCTTCTTCCTCTTGTGGTTGTGGTTCGGGTTTTTGTTGTTGTTGTTGTGCAGGTCGATAGCGTGGAGCACGGCCATGGCGCCCAGGTGGTTGTGGTTCAGGTTGTTGTTGTGGTTGTTCCTGTTGTTGTTTTTGTTGTTGTTGTGTAGGTCGACAACGTGGAGCACGGCTATGGCGCCCAGTTAAGTACCACTGACGGAGGGATGTGTTGTTGTTGTGCAGGTCGCCAGTGTGGAGCACGGCTTTGGCGCCCAGTTAAGTACCGCTAACGTTGGTATGGCCTCCACCCCTCTTCTTCTTCTTCTTCTTCTTCCTCTTCTTCTTCTCTTCTTGTGGTGGTTGTTGTCGTTGTTCAGGTCGCCAGTGTGGAGTAAGGCTATGGCGCCCAGTTAAGTACCGCTTGCGCAGGTATGTGTTGTTGTTGTTGTTGTTGTACAGGTCACCAGTGTGGAGCACGACTATGACGACTAGTTAAGTACGCCGGACGCAGGTATTGCCTCCGCCCCTCTTCTTCTTCTTTTTCTTCTTCTTCTTCTTCTTCTTCTTCTTCAGGTGGTTGTGGTTCTGGTTGTTGTTGTGGTTGTTCCTATTGTTGTTGTTGTTGTTGTTGTTGTTGTTGTTGTGCAGGTCGACAGCGTGGAGCACGGCTATGGCGCCCAGGTAAGTGATGCGGGTATGGCCGCCTCCCCTCTTCTTCTTCTTCTTCTTCTTCTTCTTCTTTTTCTTCTTTTTCTTCTTCTTTTCCTTCTTGTGGTTGTGGTTCGGGTTTTTGTTGTTGTTGTTGTGCAGGTCGACAGCGTGGAGCACGGCTATGGCGCCCAGGTGGTTGTGGTTCTGGTNTTGTGGTTCGGGTTTTTGTTGTTGTTGTTGTGCAGGTCGACAGCGTGGAGCACGGCTATGGCGCCCAGGTGGTTGTGGTTCTGGTTGTTGTTGTGGTTATTGATATTGTTGTAGTTGTTGTGCAGGTCGATAGTGTGGAGCACGGGTATGGCGCCCAGTTAAGTACCGCTGACGCAAGGATGTGTTGTTGTTGTGCAGGTCGCCGGTGTGGAGCACGGCTTTGGCGCCCAGTTAAGTACCGCTGACGCAGGTTGGAGCACAGATATGGCGCCCAGTTAAGTACCGCTGACGCAGGTATGGCCTCCGCCCCTCTTCTTCTTCTTCTTCTTTTTCTTCTTCTTCTTCTTCTCTTTTTGTGGTTGTTGTTGTAGTTGTTCAGGTCGCCAGTGTGGAGCAAGGCTATGGCGCCCTGTTAAGTACCGCTGACGCCGGTATGTAATGTTGTTGTTGTTGTTGTTTTTGTACAGGTCGCCAGTGTGGAGCACGGCTATGGCGCCCAGTTAAGTACAGCTGACGCAGGTATTGCCTCCGCCCCTCTTCTTCTTCTTTTTCTTATTCTTCTTCTTCTTCATCTTCTTCTTTTTATTTTTCTCGTCAAATATTGTTATGGATTGCTTTTTTTGCATCGTTTGCAACCTGAAGCTCGTGTAGAAGCACCCACGGATGGATCTGTTATCTTAGCGGGAATTCTCTTAAACTTGGGAACTTACGGTTTTTTAAGATTTTCTTGAGATGAATTCAATTTTAAAGTAGAAAATGTAGARGTGTTTGGTGAACCAAAAATGAATTTCCCTAAACAAATAAAAAGGATATGCACAAATAAACTAGTTTAAACTGAATTAACACAAACATGGCGAAGTGACAATAATCGCGTAAAAGTTATTTTTTTGAATTCAGTAAATGGAGGCTACGCTGTAAAAATTGCAGGTCGTATAGCTTTCTTTGTTTTTTTTTTTTTCTTCTTCTTCTTCGTCGTCGTCGTCGTCGTCGTCTTCTTCTTATTCTTCTTCTTCAGGTGGTTGTGGTTCTGGTTGTTGTTGTGGTTGTTGTTGTGGTTGTTGTTGTTGTTGTTGTTGTTGTTGTTGTTGTTGTTGTGCAGGTCGACAACGTGGATCACGGTTATGGCGCCCAGGTAAGTGTCGCAGGTATGGCCTCCGCCCGTCTTCTTCTTCTTCTTCTTCTTCGACGTCTTTCTTCTTCTTCTTCTTCTTCGTTTGGTTGTTGTTGTGGTTGTTCTTGTTGTTGTTCTTGTTGTTGTTGTGCAGGTGGACGGCGTGGAGCAAGGCTATGGCGCCCAGGTAGTTGTTGTTCTGCTTGTTGTTGTGGTTGTTGCTGTAGTTATTGTTCTTCTTGTTGTGCAGGTCGACAGCGTGGATCACGGCTATGGCGCCCAGAAGAGTGACGCAGGTATGGCCTCCTCCCCTCTTTTTCTTCTTCTTCTTCTTCTTGTGGTTGTGGTTTGGGTTTTTGTTGTTGTTGTTGTGCAGGTTGACAGCGTGGAGCACAGCTATGGCGCCCAGGTGGTAATGGTTCTGGTTGTTGTTGTGGTTGTTGTTGTTGTTGTGCAGGTGGACGTTGTGGAGCACGGCTATGGCGCCCAGTTAAGTACCGGTGACACAGGGATGTGTTGTTGTTGTGCAGGTCGCCAGTGTGGAACACGGCTTTGGCGCCCAGTTAAGTACTGCTGACGCAGGTATGGCCTCCGCCCCTCTTCTTCTTCTTCTTCTTCTTTTTCTTCTTCTCTTCTTAAAGTTGTTGTAGTCGTAGTTCAGGTCACCAGTGTAGAGCAAGGCTATGGCGCCCAGTTAAGTACCGCTGACGCAGGTATGTGTTGTTGTTGTTGTTGTACAGGTCGCCAGTGTGGAGCACGGCTATGGCGCCTAGTTAAGTACGGCTGACGCAGGTATTGCCGTCGCCCCTCTTCTTCTTCTTCTTCTTCTTCTTCTTCTTCTTCTTGTCAAATATTGCTATGGATTGCTTTTTTTGCATCTTTTGCAGTGAAAGTACCTATAGTACCTGTACATATTTGCTTACCTGAAGCTCTTGTAGAAGCACCTACCGATGGATCTGTTATCTTAGCGGGAATTCTCTTAAAATTGAGATTTTACGGTTATTTAAGATTTTCTGGATATGAATTTAATTTTGGAGTAAAAATGTAGAAGTGTTTGGTGAACGAAAAATGATTTTGCCTAAACAAATAAAAAGGATATGCAAAAATAAACTAGTTTGGACTGAATTAACACAAATACGGCGAAGTGACAGAAATCACGTAAAAGTTTTTTTTTTGAATTCAGTAAATGAAGGCTACGCTGTAAAAATTGCAGGTCATATAGCTTTCTTCTACTTCTTCTTCTTCTTCTTTTTCTTCTTCTTCTTCTTCAGGTGGTTTTGGTTCTGGTTGTTGTTGTGGTTGTTGTTAGTGTAGTTGTTGTTGTTGTTGTTATATAGGTCGACAGCGTGGATCACGGCCATGGCGCCCAGGTAACTGACGCAGGTATCGCCTCCGCCCCTGTTTTTCTTCTTCTTCTTCTTCGTCTGGTTGTTGTTGTGGGTGTTGCTGTTGTTGTTCTTATGGTTGTTGTGCAGGTCGACAGCTTGCAGCACGGCTATGGCGCCCAGGTGGTTGTGGTTCTTATTGTTGTTGTGGTTCTTGCTGTTGTTGTTGTTGTTCTTGTTGTGCAGGTCGACAGCGTGGATCACGGCTATGGCGCCCAACTAAATGACGCAAGTATGACCTCCTCCCCTCTTCTTCTTCTTCTTCTTCTTCTTCTTCTTCTTGTGGTTGTGGTTCGGGTTTTTGTTGTTGTTGTTGTGCAGGTCGACAGTGGGGAGCACGATTATGGCGCCCAGGTGGTTGTGGTTCTGGTTGTTGTTGTGGTTGTTGTTGTGGTTGTTGCTGTTGTTGTTGCTGTTGTGCAGGTCGACAGTTGGAGCACGACTATGGCGCCCAGTTAAGTACCGCTGACGC